GTGGACCTGGCCATGCCGCACGGCCGTCCCCGTCCCGCAGGCTTGCCTCACTCGTCCTCCTCCGCTCTGATCGGACTGAGCCAGAGCAAACCCTCCTCCACCAGCCTGCGTCTCAGCATCTTCACCCCCAGTGTCCTGATGATCTCCAAACATGCCGACGGTTCGCTCAACCAGTGGGCCGTCAGCTTCGCCGAGGACTCGGCCTTCTCCACGGTGCTCAGCGTGTCTCATAAGTCACGGTACTGCGGTCATCGCTTCCACCTCAACGATCTGGCCTGCCACTCTCTGCTGCCGCTGCTGCTTACCACCTCGCACCACAACGCCCTGAGGACGCCCGCCGCCGCTCTGACCGCCCCGGCCCGCAGGAGCAGAGTCTCGCAGGACCCCAGCGCCATCTACAGCGAGCTGATCCTATGGCGGGTGGATCCGGTGGGGCCGCTGTCGTTCTCTGGTGGCGTGTCGGAGCTGGCCAGGATCAACTCGCTGCACGCCTCCGCCTTCTCTAACGTGGCCTGGCTGCCCACGCTCATCCCCAGCAACTGCCTCGGTGAGGACTGCTTCCTTAGGTTCTGACATAAAAGCAAAACTCGCTGTGGAAACCAGGGGCCAGTTGTTCAAAAGTAATCTGATCGGATTTTGGCCATCGGATTGGATCAAATCTTGAAAATGGGTTGTTCAAAGGAAAAAAAGGATTCTGAATTCGGATTAGATCACAAAATCCAATCTGGGTTTTGATCTGGATTAAATCCTCAATTCAAACATTTTAGTAAGATACTTTTGATCCCAAAAAACTGGATTGATCTTATCCCAGCAGAAGGGTGGATTTCAGGAACAAAAATTTAATAACTTTAAACCTGGTCCAAAAAATGCAACATTTGTAACATGATACATATCCCCAAACAGCTGTCAATATCAAACAAATATCAATATAAAAAAAAATTATATTTAATTTAAAGTTTTCTTTTTTTCATCACTGATTGTAAACTACATTGGCACAATCATCAGAGATGGAGCAGTCAGAAGTAGTTATGTGTGTAAATGCAATGCAAAATGCAAAACATTGGCATTTTGTTCTCCATCAGCATGTCCCTTTAGGGGCTCCGTAGAGCTCTAGTAATCCAGATTTGGAAATCTGGAAAAGTGTGTATCTGGATCAGGGTGATCCAATCCAATTTTGCTTTGAAAAACCGGCATTAAAGTACGATGGGTCACCTGGTCCCGGATCGCAAAATCATGGGATTTCCAAATCCAGATCATTCTGATCCAGATTAAACTTTTTGAACAGCTGGCCCCAGGGTTCGTACAAGGTGCTTAAAGGAGTCATCAGATGCCCATTTTCCACAAGTTGACATGTTTCTTTAGGGTCTTAATGAAAAGTTTATAACATACTTTAGTTAAAATTTCTCAATGGTAGTGTAAAACAACACCCTTTTTACCCTGACAAAAACAGCTCTGTTCACAGCAACCCGTTTTGTTGCATGCCCCTTTAAATGCTAATGAGCTCTGCTGACCCCGCCCCTCTCTTCCGTGGGGTGGCGAGATGTTCTGTTAACTTTAGCCGCATTTAGCAGCGGAACTTGCTAACTAGAAAACCTAAAAACCCTTATTCTCACTTCTGCTGTAAGTAAAGCTGGATCACGAAGGATTCGTGCGAACATAGACGCATTTATGTAGATCGGGGCGCATTCCCTTCAAAAACAAACGTAATCCTCTGCGTCTTCAGCGGCTCAGATGTCGGGAGTAAATGACGACTGCTGTGTTCATTATTACATCCAACAACAGAACACCTCAATCGCTTAGGAGACATTCTGCTCCAGCATCAAAACAATGGAGGATTGTTTACAGCTCACTCAGGGCGGAGCTAAGGTAAAACACCAGTGTCAATCAACAATCGTGGGAGGGGCCTGGGTCTGAGTGATGTCACACAGCCAAGCATCTGAGATCGGCTTGATCTGAGAAAGGGGATATTATTTATTGGGATTTAAAAAAAAAAAAAAAAACACTGGGTGGATTTTTATGATTATAGGGTGGTTGTGTACACACACTGCTAAGACACATTTATGTTCAAACAACATGTAAAAGTGAATTTAGCATCCGATGACCCCTGTAAAGTGCTTGAAGATTTGACTTTTTGAAGTTTAAGTCCTGGAAAACACTTGAAAATATTTGAAAAGTGCTTGAATTTTTAAAAGGCAGTATACATGAAATTAGTGTTAATTTTTATTTTCGATAAAATCAGTCTTTTCACACAAAATTAACAATGCAGCGCATCTGATATAAATACAGAGCCCCCTGCAGGTATTTGTTATAATACATTAAGTAATTAAGTTTATGCTCATATTATGTATAGGCATATTACATTATGTATTATGAATAAAACCATGTAATTACTTGTGATATGTAAATACTTTATTTGAACCTATTATTATTGCCTCGTCGTTATTTTATATATAGGTAAATATAGCAATATTAAAGCCTGTTTTTCACAAAATATCAGATTACTCTTCAAAATAATTAGTAGATTACTTGATTACCAAAATAATCGTTAGTTATGTCCCTGGATTAGTTAAACATTTCAAAATACAACTGCATTATTTTGCGTTTAGTAATTAAAAGACAAATATTTTGTCACTGAAAATTTCTTGAAAATAGTATTAAAGGGCACCTGTTATGCAGAATCCATTTTTACATGGTGCTTGGACATAAATGTGTGTTGGCAGTGTGTGAACACAACCACCCTACAATGATAAAAATCCACCCACTCCTCATTTTTTAATCCCCTTTAAACCAAATCAGTCTCACTAGGCCTGTCGTTTTGATTCTCTATCTCTATGCAATGTGACATCACACTGCATAGGCCCCGCCCACTGCAGCTGATTGACAGCACAGCATTGATGACGCAGTGGATTACTTTCATTTTTCAAGGTAATGCGCCTCAAAATCTACCTAAATATGTTTGTCTGCGCAGAGAGAAGTATACGCGATGCCCTCTTCTGGAGACGGGGCGGGGAATATGCAGCTCATTTGCATTTAAAGTGAAACACACCAAAACAGCTCTTTTTTTTAAACACACCCCAAAAATGACATTTTCCAGCTGTTATAATAAATGATCTGTGGGGTATTTTGAGCTGAAACTTCACAGACACATTATGGGGACACCCAAGACCAATATAACATCTTGTAAAAAGGGGCATAATAGGTGCCCTTTAAAATATTGTCTCGTTCTAGTGAAACAAGTATCTGTATTTTGTCTCATCTTGTGAGCTAAGTATATTGTCACACCCCTAGTTTCTACGAGCGTGATATAGCTCATAATTTTCCAAGTGTATGATATAGCTTTCATCCTTCAGGTCAGTCATATGTTCACGAAAAAAAATCAGTTTGAAAAAGGAAGGCGATAACTTTGCCATAGTATCCTTTCAAATGTTAAAGTTGCCACAGTCATTGCATGCTTTGCATGTGCTGCAATTTATTTGTACAATTTTGTTTTATTAGTTAATTTATTCGAATTTGAAAGGTAATAACGATATTGTTTGATAAGTGTGATCTCTGATTTTAGTCGTGGAAAACCAAAAATGTAGTGCTTGAAAAGTCCTGGAATTAAATTTTGCGGTATCTGTAGGAACCCTGGGAAACCTTCAATGGAAAGCTTATTTATTCAGCTTTCAGATGATGTAATAATCTCAATTTTAAAAAATTGACCCTTGTGACTGGTTTTGTGCTCCAGGGTCCGCTCATGAATATTTAATGTGCATCCTCTGTTCTTCAGCTTGCAGCTGATTGGATGATAATCTTGGTCTATTCATATTTAATTTCCTTCCCAAAGGTGTGTATGGAAACTCACCCAGTGCCTGCTTCATCGCTAGTGACGGACACTCGCTCCGACTCTATCAGGCCATCATCGAGGCCAAGAAACTGCTGAGTGAACTCTCCAACCCCGACATCTCCGTAAGAATGATCCTGGCTGCTATATCAGTATATCAAATGTAGAGTCCTGCTTATCTATAATGTGTTCTTCCTCCAGAAATATGTTGGAGAGGTGTTTAACATCATCAGCCAGCAGTCGACGGCCAGACCAGGCTGCATCATTGAGCTTGATGCCATCACAGACTTTGTACGTATAAGATCCGCTACAGATGTGACCCAAACTAATGAGCTGATCTAACACAAGAGCATCATTTCCCAGAGTGCTCAGCGCTCACGTCTCTCTCTCTGTTTGTTCAGCAGGGGAAAGAGACGCAGCTGCTGCACGTGTTCGAGGAGGACCTGATCTTGGGAAGCGAGAAAGTAGACGACTGCCTGCAGGATTCTGGTAAGAAGTCATTATCTGATAGCGCCACAGCGTTCATTGAGTCTCTGTGCTGTGTCACGAACGCTTGTCCTCTGTTCAGTTCCCAGCCGGACGCTCTTCTCCGCTCGCTTCTACCTGGTGGTGGTGGAGATCACTCAGAGCGGCAGGTCGCTCCTGCACATGTGGCATCTACAGCTGGACGCAGTTCCCGTCGTTATGGGTTTGTAATGGATCTTATGGTAAACAGTGTTGGGAAGGTTACTTTGGAAATGTAATAGGTTACAGATTACAATTACCCTACTTAAAATGTAACAAGTAGTGTAACTTTCCTCAACAGGAGTTCTCTGCTCCACCTGTGCGCTTCCACAGTCCACTCCATTCTCAAATCTCTCGCATTAATTACTCCGATCGAAACTGTTCAATCTGTTCAAAGCTTAGCTTTGCCAGTCATGACCAGGGCCGCTGCTGACCAAATGAGTGCCCTAAGCAGAATTGTATGGTTGTGCCCCCTCCCCCAGATATTATGGTTGTAAAAAAACACATAGGGGTCAAAATAGAACTTTAATCAAATATAAAAGTCAATAAATTGTAATTAAATTGTATTATTTACAAATGACGATTTTTTAAATACAGTTGTCTGATTTATATTATAGTCTCAAGCATTCAGAAATCACGCAAAAGAAAACTAAGCACTACAATAAAACCATGGTTAATTTTTGTGAGGGTTGTGATGTCCACTTGCTTTTGTTGAAGAAATTATAGCGGCTGTAGCATTTCTATCGCAAAAAGGTGGCCAAAAATGAAAGATTAAGTGGATATTTGAATTAGCCTACATTTTTGGTCAATATTAAACAAGGCCTTTGGCTCCCTTTACAGGCATTTGTCATAATATGTAATGTACACGAATTGTTTATTTTGTATTACATTATGCATTTTAACCGTGTTATTCAATGAAACCATATAATTATTAATTAACCAATCATTATTGCCTCATTGTTTTATATAATGCATTTTAAGTAATTTTAAAGGCTGTTGTTGGCTTGTTTTTATAACCACAAAAAAATATTATCTTAATACTTCTTTGTAAACTATTATTTGAAATAACAAAACCATGATTAATCTGTGGTTATCATGGCTACAAGAACCATGATTTTTGGTTTTATTCGTAGTGAAACCATGGCTAATTTTCGTAAGGGAACATGGAAACTCAGAGAATATTAGATTAAATAAATTATTACCGACATTAAAACAGGTTATTTACGTCAACAGTCAAAAATATTTCACAGGATTATGAAATGTACCTGAAAGTGATGCACGGGCTTCATCAAGGCTGCATTTATTTGATCAGAAATACAGGAAAAAAAACAATAATCTTGCAAAATGTTATTAGAATATAAAATAATGGTTTCTATTTTAATATCCTTTAAAATATAATGTATTTCTGTGATGCAGCGCTGAATTTCCATCATCATTACTCCAGAATAAAGCGTCACATGATCTTCAGAAATCATTCTAATATGCTGATTTATTATTAGAGTTATCAATGTTGCTACAGTTGTGTTTTTTGGAAACTGAGAGATACGCAGAACGTGTCATGCAAGGTTCATATATTGTATTTTTGCGGCTTAATATTCACAGACTCTAGTCCATCTCGAGTTTTGATTCAAGTGTACTGACCCTACTTTTGATCTATTCATCCAAAATGTGGCATATTCTGTGACATTCCACGTTATAGGAGTTCCGTTTTTATGACTGGATTCTACGAACCAGTCCGTGTTTTCCGCATCGCGAAATCATAGGGCCGTATGTCTCATATTTTAGAGTAGTCTGTGCAATTTGGGAAAGAAATCAATTAAATCTGTATGTGGATGCGTGTAAGTATTCAAATGTAACCCCCTTTGTAATCGTTAACATTTTCATTAGTAACTGTAACTGATTACAGTTACATTTATCTTGTAAAGCAAGCGATTGATGTTTCTGTCAACTGAACTGCAGATTTGTGTCGTTCTTTCAGAGCAAACTCAAACTCCAGACAGAGAGACTGTGTCTCCATCATTTAACTTTGAGACGGTCGGCTCGCCACAAACCCCGAGACCCAAACTGAAGACGTCTAACCTCCAGAGCGCCTGCCGCCTCACTCTGACCAACACAAAAGTCTTCAGCCAGGAGCTGGATCTGCCGCAGGGCGTTGAAGTCATTCGTGTGTCACCTGCTGCAGGTGACCGCAAACCACCTCTGTGTGCCTTTGATGATAAGATAATGCATGATGTTCTGATTATTCCCATTATGGCCTTTATTTATCCTCCTTTTTAAAACGCTCCATGACGCTTTGCGCAAATTATGGGAGGAACTTCTGTTAAACTGTAAACAATCACTGAAAGATTTGCTGTATGAACACAATATAATACACTTTTTCAAAAAATTAGGTACGATGAGGTGACATTATTCTACTCACCCTTCAACCTTCATCCAACAATAAAAGAAAAGTGTAAAAATAATAACAAATTACTACAACATCAATAACCCCAAAAACTTGATTCATGTCACATCACATGTCTGTATTATGTAACATTGTAATGTTTGCCAAAAATGTTAATTAACCGAAACATTGAGTGATTGCCATCATTTTATACAGACAATAAATATTGTACTGTATATACCTGCTTTAGAAACATTCCAGTAAACACTGCTAATAGGGATTAGAAGTGAAAACAGGAGACATTTTAAAGCATCTGTGTGAGAACAAATCTGGAAAGAGACATGAGGATTTGGGGAGCAAAATAGGTATTCTCAGTGCATTTTTTTGGATTGATCATAAATTAAATCAGGATAGCAGAGCATAAATTTGCAGTGTATGTCATCTTGGTTCATATTGTTACAGCAGAATACAAATGAAAACATGAAAATAATGCAGCATCTCTTCCATAGATATTCTTATTATAGCATGTCACATTAAAATACCAAGCATTACATTATTCTCCTGACGTCTGGTAATAGAATATGAAGGAAAATGTACAGCTCATTCAGTCAAACTGGATAAGGATTATTTGTAGTGCAACCTTGTGATCTGAAATGATTGGTTTCAGTCTTTTTGAGTGGAACTTCCCCAAGCCAAATCTATTGGGTTATCTGACAAACAGAAGGGATGGGCGATATCTGATCGTTTGTGATATACCGGTAAAAAGTCTCTCCATGATAAGAATTAGTCTTTCCGTGATGATAACGATAAAGTCTAGTTGTTGGCATATTTCTGTGTGCGACATCACGGAAGGTGGACGTGAAATTGAGGAGGAGTTTATCGCAGATAAACCATATATTTTGTGCAATCGTATGTTTATTGTCTTCAAGTTTCATCAGTTAAAATGTCTCTATCTCCGTTGTGCGTTTTATTCAGCGATAACTGGATGCCTTTGTCCATATTAGGGATTTCCTGGAGCGTCGTCAGTGCTATTACTTCTGCGATGCATGTGTGGAGTTTCTGCGCGAGGGCGCCCTCTGGCTTCCAGTGTGATTTAAACCGTCATTACATTATGTGTGTGCTCAGTAATGCTCAAAACAAAAATAGGTTTTTATAATTTTGGGTAAAAATAGGAAAGAGAATACTTTTCTCTAAAGAAACAGGATTCCCTGAATTATCGTCATTGATATCGTTATCGCAATAAATACCAGAAGTTATCGTGATATATTTTAAAGCCCATATCGCCCATCCCTAACAAACATCAACGTTTGCGTTGCAGGTCATTTGAGCGCCTCGTCTCTGCAGCCGGCCGGACGCTCTCCGTATCTGCTGGCCACGTCTTGCTCAGACGGATCGGTCCGGTTCTGGAGGTGCAGCGCCGTCTCTGACCCCGATGGCTCTGCTGACCCGTCATACGTCTGGGAGGAGTGGGCTTTGCTTGTGGAGGAGGGCGAGGCCAGCAGCAGCGCTCTGAGCGTGTCCGGTCAGCTCATGGGTCTCAGCTGCTGTCACACCAGCAGAGTCGCAGTCGCGCACCGGAGCCACGAACCCATCATGCACATCAGCATCTTCCAGTGCGACTCCACCGGAGGCTCTCAGTGGATTCTGGAGCAGACGCTTAAAGTCTGCGGTGCATACAGCCCCAGTGCCAACGACTGTGATAAAATCCTGAGTAACGGCTGTTCAGTTAAGAGGCAGGTCCACTTAGACTGGGTTTCCAGAGAAGATGGCTCTCACATATTAACTGTAGGTCTAGGATCCAAACTTTACATGTACGGGATGCTTTCTGGAACACCTCCAGATCTGGGTCTGTCCGATTGCAGTAATCGACAGCACAGCTCTCAATTGGTGCTCCTCCGAGTGGTGGATCTGGTGTCGTCGGTTGAAGGTTCGCTACCCATCCCTGTCTCTCTATCTTGGGTGCGAGATGGCATCTTAGTAGTCGGGATGGATTGCGAAATGCACGTGTACTCCCAGTGGCAGCCGCCGGCTCCTGTCAAACTGTCACGCACTGGTAGCGTGACGTCGGTGAAACAGGAGGGACTCAGTCCGAATCCTTCGAAAAAGACCCTCACCAGATCCATGACTAGTTTGGCTCAGAAACTCAGTGGAAAGAGAACCGTGTACGACCTCCCGGCCGAGATGGAGGATTCTGGGTTGTTTGAGGCGGCCTATCACCTGTTTCCTACTCTGCCCCAGTATCACCCAGTGCAGCTGTTGGAGCTCATGGACCTCGGGAAGGTGCGCCGGGCCAAAGCCATCCTGTCCCATCTGGTGAAGTGCATTGCTGGGGAGATCGTGTCTATGAAGGACACTGCGATAAACCAGGAGCGGCGTCTGCGCTCGCTCACCATCAGCGCCAGCGGAAGCACCGCCCGAGACCCGAAGATGTTCAGCAAAGCTGAGAGCTCCGACTACACCGAAATCGACTCCATCCCGCCGCTGCCTCTGCATGCGCTGTTAGCCGCCGACGAGGAGACCGCTCCTAGTGCCAAAGAACGATCGGAGAGCGTGAGCGCTCACGGCCAAAGCGACGCTTACAACGAGCTCTTCCAGACCACCGGCGTCAGTGTGGATGACATGGACCCTTTTGATGGAGATGAGGAGGATGCAAACGCTAAAGTCATTGATTTGTCAAAGTACAGCCCTACGTTCTTCGGCTCCGAACATGCACAGGTGTTATCGGGACACCTGCTTCACTCCAGCCTGCCGGGCCTGACGCGGATGGAGCAGATGTCTCTGATGGCTCTGGCGGACACCATCGCTTCCACCAGCACCGACATTGGAGAAAGCCAAGGGAAAGGCCAAGGTCAGTGTCTTTCACTGATATAAGTGCAGTTTTCATTTGTAGGGACATCATTTGAGTTATGATAGAATGCACTTACAGTGGTGGCCAAAATCATTAGAACACTAGTAATTCCCACTAGCAGCTACAAATGAGTTTAAGTCAGTTATTGCTATTGTTTGCTGTAGTGTGTCAGTAGAAAATATCAGTTTACATTTCCAAACATTCATTTGGCCATTAATTGTAATAATGCAGTGAGCTCTGATCTGATCATCATCAGTCTGTCTGGAGTCACATGAAGAAACAGAACAAACTGAGACAGACTCAATCCAGAAGAACTGATGCTTCAAGAAACCTCCTGCGAAGCTCCTGAGAAACTCTGCTCAAGTGCACCGAGGGCAAACGCTGCTTTAAACACAAAGATGCTCACACCAAATGTTGATTTCATTTAGTTCATAGAAGCTAATTGATAAAGCAAATCTATTTATGACATTATTATTGACAGCATCCTCATTTTACAGCTTAAAGTGCCTAAAACTTTTCACAGTTCTGTAGCTTTGCAGGAGGTTTCTTAAGGCATCTTGGAGACTTTGGAGATTATTACAATTAATGGCAAAATTAAATGTTTGGAAATGTAAACTGATATTTTCTACTGACAAAAGAAAGCAAAAGATAGAAATAATTTAATTAAAACTATTTTTTAGCTGGTGAATATACTAGTGTTCTAATAATTCTGGCCACCACTGTATATGCCCCCAAAATTCAAGAGAAAAATTACCCTATTTGAGTTTTTGTCTCATATTTATATCATATGATGTAGTTAATCAACATCACATGAGCATCTAGTTCAATATCACACGAGTGCTGTTTTTGTCCCGAATAGCATGATACTGATTTTTTACAACAGTTAAAAAGAAAAATAATTTAATATCGTGCAGAACTGTTGGGTATCTCTAAGCAACACACAATTTCTGAATGACTCTGCGTTTTGAATGAATCGATGATTCAATGGTATTCATAAAGAGAGCCATTTACTTCATTCCTGAATGAGTCAGCCATTTGAACGAATCAAATGAATGAACGACTCAATGACTTATTCATTAAAGTGCTCCTATTATGGGTAATGAAAGGTTCATATTTTGGTTTTGGGAGTCCCCAACAACAGGTTGACATGCATGCAAGGTCAAAAACACTTTCATTGTCTTATAATATGCATTTATTTTTACCTTACTTGCTCAACGACTCCCAAAGGCTTCACTCAACAATTCGTTTTTCCAAACCCCTGCTTTGCGTGACGCTAATCTGCGGTGATTGGTCCGATTGGATCTCGCCTGTAATGCCTGATAAAGCAGTGTTTGTGAGCACAGTGCTGTATAGCGTTGTTACCGGGGAAACAGATATTTTACCACACCAAAAGCGGTACCTAGTGACAAACAAGGTAACGCTGTACACAAAGCAGGGGTTTGGAAAAATTTATCATTGAGTGAATCCTTTGGGAGTCGTTGAGCAAGTAAGGTGCATAATGCATATTATAAGACAATGAAAGTGTTTTTGACCTTGCATGCATGTCAACCTGTTGTTGGGGACTCCCAAAACCAAAATATGAACCTTTCATTACCCATAATAGGAGCACTTTAAAAATTAAAAAAGAAAATGAGAAAGATAAAAGAAAGCTACTTTCTAAAGCTACTTTTTGTAATATCTATTTCATGCTTTTCTCATGTAACACAATAATGGCTTTAAATGATATTTTGTGGGTAATTTCTCAGCTGCAATTGATGTATGATTAATATGTGATTAGATTAATGAATCGCCACATTGTATAATTGATTTACAGCTCTAGTTATGCTGTGATAAATCTTTCCTCAGGTGGAGAGACGCTGGATGAATGTGGGCTGAAGTTCCTGCTGGCCGTCCGCCTGCACACCTTCCTCCTCACGTCTCTGCCTCCGGCTCATCGCGCTCCGCTTCTCTGCCAAGGTAAGCGTTCAGATGGTGGTTCTGCATATTTCTGTAACTCTTAACAGTAGAGAATGCCTCAAAGAACACCAAGGTCATGGGTTCGATTCTCAGTGAAATGCATGCACTGGTAAAATGTGTACCTTGAGTGCAATTCCTTGCGTAGACGTAATTGTAAATCTCAGCTGTAATATGTTCTGTGGACTTCTGAGCTCAGTAACTCAGGTGCTGCTGGTCTACAGGACTGTCCACCTGTCACTACGCCTGGGCGTTCCACTCCGAGGCCGAAGAGGAGCTGCTCAACATGCTTCCGGCCCTGCAGAAAGGAGAGCCCGCGTGGCCCGAGCTGAGAGCCATGGGCATGGGCTGGTGGCTCAGGAGCACCAACAAGCTTCGCAGATGCATTGAGAAGGTTTGACCAAACTGAGCCCATTTTCTGTGCATATTAGATGATGATGAGTAGATTTTGCCAAAATTGGCAGGATATATAATAATCCAGGATATTTCAGTAAATAATGCTCACATTCATGTTTTACACCATAGGCATCTACTGTATCTGTTAGCTTTCCCTATATTGTTCTGCATTAGTCTGTGGCAGTCCGTAAACAGTTATTGAACAGTTCTCAAAATGGCAAATTTAGAGTTGTTTCCCCAAACTTTTAGAACTTTTAGCTTGTAATTAGTATATCATAACCTAACCTCAAGCATCAAATATTAAATATACATCAAATATACATAAATAATTAGTATCTCTGCAATGCTTCTGTATATTGACATAAAACTTTGTAGGTGTTATTGTCACAGTGTGCACTGTACATTTTAAAAGTTTAAATATAATGCTAAATCTACTCATAATCTAGTCATAGCCTCTCACACAGGTCAGCTCAGTCTGTAGCTGCTGCTTGTTTGATTATTCTTCTGTGCATCAGATGCTTGTCTTCAGCCACAATATTCAGCATCTTTGTTTGTCAGCACCTTGAGTTACATTGAGATGACTGAACAAAACTTAAACTTTAGTTATGCATTTATTTTTGTTAATTTTCTGTCTTATTTGTAGAGCATGGGCTTTATGAAGTCCAAACAAGTGTAATGATCAGTGATCCTCTATCTCCTACCAGGTAGCAAAAGCTGCTTATCAGAGAAACAACGACCCGTTAGACGCAGCCTTGTTTTATCTGGCCATGAAGAAGAAAGCTGTGGTCTGGGGACTGTACAGGTAACCACACACACACACACTCTCTCACACACACTCACTCTCTCACACACACACACACACACACACACACACACACACACACACACACACACACACCAAGGCTTCAGTCCACTGAGAGCTCCTGTGTGTTGAAGGTCCCACCATAACGTGAAGATGACGGCGTTCTTCAGCAATAACTTCAGTGAAGACCGCTGGAGGAAGGCAGCGCTGAAGAACGCTTTCTCTCTGCTCGGAAAGCAACGTTTCCAGCATTCAGCGGCTTTCTTTCTGTTGGCCGGATCCCTGAAAGATGCTGTTGAGGTACATTTGCATCTGTTCTGTTTATGTTCTTCTCTGAAACCTTCCTCTGTCATGAGCTTCTGAAACAAGAAGGAAAGTATAATCATCAGGATTACGGTCTTTAGTCTTCCTGTCAGTTCTCATGATCTGTCGGTTTTACTCGCTCGATCAGGTTTGTATAGAGAAGATGCAGGACCTTCAGCTGGCTCTGGTGGTCTGTCGGCTGTACGAGTCTGAGTTCGAGATGTCCTGCAGCTACAAGCGAATCCTGCAGAGGCATGTGTTGGGTCAAGACCAGCAGATCGCAGCCCATCAGGACCCTTTCTTACGCAGCATGGCGTACTGGGTCTTAGATGACTACAGCAGGGCTTTGGACACGCTGCTCGAGCCCAATGCAGACACGTCACATGAAGGTGAGAGCTTCACAGAGATCAACAGGAGAATAATGCAATCAATTATGGAACTCATAGGGCTACACAATCATGATTTATGCTTCTCTTGGTTTACTAAGCATAAACATCGGCTATACTTGCCGGCTGGTTATTTATCCTTACAACGTTTCAGTTTCAGCTATAAAGCAGATTTGAATCAATTCAGCTCAGTGTTGATTCAGTTCAGTTCAATCGCAGTGTTCATTTTGTAAAATTCATCAACTATGAAATGAATTCAGTTTCAGCTATGAAGCAGCTCTACAAAAGACGATGGAGTCATTATTTTGATAAATTCAGATCAAGTCAGTTCAATGTTGATTTAGAGTGCTAATGTTGTAAAATTCATCAGTTATAAAATAATTTCAGTTTCAGCTGTGAAGCAGCTCTACGGAAGACAATAATGTCATAATTCAGCTCAATTTCGTTAAATGTTGATTCATTTCAGTTCAATAACAGTGTCAATTATAAAACGAATTTGATTCTGCAATTCTGAATTTGAAATTCAGATGCATCGAGGCAAGATGAATGTAGAGCTGCTGGTCTCATTGGTGTCTGAACACAAAGAGCTAGCGACAGCGACTACAAAAATCTCGATAAGAGGGAGTTGTTATGGAGAGGAATTGCAGATCAAATAGGATTCGATGTGTACCGGGGTATTTCTGGTATTCATTAAGCGCCATCTAATGTCAGGGAGTGAATTTGCACGTTCACTCGGCTCATCGCCTGTGAAAATCGCTTGGGTATGAACACAAAAGACGCGGTGAAAAACGTCGGCGAAAATCATCCCGGTGTGTACGAGGCTTTAATGTTGAAAAATTAATCAACTATGAAATTAATTCCGTTTCAGCTGTGACGCTGCTCTACAGAAGACGATGGAGTCATTATTCAGATCTATTCAGTTCTAGTTTTGTTCTCATCTGATAGGGTCAGTGCAGTTAATTCGAACATATTACTGAATATTAAAGGATAAGTTCACTTTCAGAATAAAAATGTTCTGATAATTTACTCACCCCCATGTCATCCAATATGTTCATGTCTTTCTATCTTCGGTCGCATAGAAATTAAGGTTTTTGAGGAAAACTTTCCAGGATTTTTTTTCCGTATAGTGGACTTGAAGGTCCAAAGTGCAGTTTCAGTGCAGCTTCAAAGGGCTCTACAGGATCCCAGCCGAGGAATAAGAGTCTTATCTAAAGAAAATGTATAACCACAAATGCTCGTCTTGCTCAAGCTCTGCAATGCGCATGCGTACTCTGTGTACTCCGGTTCAAAAAGTTAGGGTAAAAAAACTCCATCTCAGTTTCTCCTCCAACTTCAGAATCGTCCGACACCGTCAGTGGAAGCACCGACACATTGCTTTCAAAGTGAACATGTAAAGAAGGCCAAATGCCATTTACAATAAAGGTAAAACAATGATGTGGGACGATTTTGATGTTGGAGATGAAAATGAAACAACTGGTAACACTTTACTTGAAGGGGTGTGCATAAGACTGACATGACACCTTCATAATCATGACATGACACATGTCATGAATATGAAGGAGGTTTTATGCATGTTTATGACAACTGTCATTAAGTGTCATTCGCTCAGTTATGTCATTTTTAATGCAAATATGACATTATTTGACCTTACCCTAACCTAACCCTACCCCTACCCTTACCCCTAACCATAGCCCATAACAAATACATCTCAAACAATGTCATCTTTGCATTAAAAATTACATAACTGAGCTAATGACACTTACTGACAGTTGTCATAAACATGCATAAAAAAACCTTCATATTCATGACATGTGTCATGTCTTGATTATGTAGGTGTCATGTCAGTCTTATGCACACCCCTTCAAGTAAAGTGTAACCAAACAACTTACTAACTTTCTGAACCAGAGTACACGTGTGCATCGCAGAGCTAGAGCAAGACGAGCATTTGTGGTTAAAAAGTATATACATTTTATGTTATTTTTTTTAGAAAATGAGCTATGATTTCTCTAGATAAGACTCTTATTCCTCGGCTGGGATCATGTAGAGCTCTTTGAAGCAGCACTGAAACTGCATTTTTAACTTTCAACCCGTTGATCCCCATTGAAGTCCACTATATGGAGAAAAATCCTGGAAAGTTTTCCTCAAAAACCTTAGTTTCTTTACGACCGAAGAAAAAAAGACATGAACATATTGGATGACACGGGGGTGAGTAAATGATCAGGAGGTTTTTATTCTGGAAGTGAACTAATCCTTCAATCCGAACTAAGCAAACCAAAGGTGACAGCGGTAGAGCCTTTATTCTAAAAGATTTTTGTTTTCCTCCTAATGTGCTTCCAGAACTGAATGTTACTGACAGGACTTGATCTCTTTCAGGAACCGGATCGTCTCCCTGTAGTCCTGATGTTTTTAACTTCTACACCTACCTCCGCACACACCCGCTGCTGCTGCGCCGTCACTTCGGCTCCTGTGATAAAGCTAAAGTGGGTCTGACCGCTGAAGGCCGCGCCATCAGCCTCACAGAGAGGAGGCTCTTCTTCACCGCCGCTTATGCACACTTACAGGCCGGCTGCCCCATGCTGGCTTTAGAGGTGCTCTCCAAAATGCCAAAGGTCGTGAAGCGCTCAAAGCCGTGCGAGAATTCGTCCGTGTCGTCGAGCGAGCACAAAGACCAGGCCTCGGCTCCGTGGCCGGTTCTCAACGGCTTGGAGTCCGTGTCCTCGCTCTCGTCTCCCAGAGAGGACAGCCAGTCGGACTCTGTGCTCAGTTTCGACTGGAGCCAGCCGTCTGTCACCCTGCAGGACGACCCTCTGGATCTCAAGTGGGACAGCGATAAAGACGACTCGGACGAGGAAGAATCAGGCCTGGCGATGAAGACCATCCGTCCGGAGAAAGACGACGGCACTCCGGAAGCGACATCCACCCCCAGGGATCACGGTAGGGCTGTCAAAATGCATCTAAATTCGAATTTTGCACTTAAGTATTATCCATTTTCGAATTTATAAGGCATAATTTCAGTTTTGGGGAAAACTGCCTGAGACCACAAAAGGGCGCATCAAGCAAAATATTACTAATGCACGTTTCTTCAAAGCAATAAAATAACATGACTATCTGTGAAAAAGTGCATGTGCAAATATGTATTTGCTTAAACAATTATAAACAAAACAGCATCATGCATGCATAGTTGAATACAAATGGATGAAAGCCAATCACGGAGTACTTTTTCATTTAAAAACATGAGATGCAGTGGGATGCAAAGAAAACAGCCATAAAGTCTCAAGACATGTTTTTTTTAAAAGTTGAACTTTAATTTTACATGGCTTTCTAAACATGCGGCTCTCTTGTGCGAGACGCGAGTGCAACGCTGATAGATGTCCCTCTAGAAAGTGTGATAAATATGCATTCTGTGTGAACGGCTTGGTTTCAGTTTGGATAGTGTTTATTCTTGTATTCTTGTAGAAAACAGGTGTATATTCTTTAAGAAAATAAGGGACGCTCCAGATATTTGTACTGTATCATAATGCATGTCTGCCTGCAGTTAAAAGAGAAATAATCACAATTGTTTTGCTTAACCCATTTATGTACAATTATTCTTAAAATAATTTTAATATCATACTACAAAAAATGTCATCGGCCTGAGTAAATTGTACTGTTAGAGAATTGGGACTTCACAAGTAGTGTAGGTGAAGATACTTTGAAATTACATACATACATCATCACTGCACTGTATTGGCCACATCTATGCTTCCATGAGCCTTTCCAGTGCACAAAAAGTTGTTAAAATGATTATTAAAATGCTCTACACACTAAGAAAAAATTATTCTTTTAAGAACTGAAAGGTTTTTCAATACCTCAAAAGTGGTGGAACAACAGCACACTACAACAAATTGCCCGCATTGACGAGCAGAGATGTCAGAGATCCACACAACTCTAGTTTAAACCAATGCAAAGAAATTTTTATCGCTCGTAATTTCTGGAGAGAAAAAGCGCAGACACTGGACAAGGCTTAAACTTTCTAGTGCTTATGTGTTCATGCACGTGGATTCACCTCAGAACTAGGGTTGGGTATCGTTTGAATTTGATCAATTCCAATTTCGATAATCGATTCCAATTCTTATCAATTCCCAGTTTCAATGTGGTTAATAAAAGTCAAACATTTAGATATCAAACATATTTATTCTGTGTCTCTTTTTGCAAAACATTTAATTGCTGCTGAATAATACCATGAACAAAAATCGATTAAACTCGATTAAAAGCACAATATGTACGATTTTTATTAAAATATCCAAAAACCACTAGAACAGTGTTCATTGTGTCGCCTGCCAAAGACGTCATAACCCCTCGATTTCCGGTTTAGTTTTGTAGAAAACATGGAAACACCAAAGACGCTTCAGTGCGTTTACATGCACCCTCTTAATCCGATTATAATGAGATTTTGACAATATTGCAATTAAACTTTATCTCATGTAAACGCAATACATCGATCTAAATAATGCGATTAAGCTCATAATCGCAGCAAGCATAATCATATTAACATAGGTGGCGTACGCCGATTTTAATTGAAATATACAGACATGTAAACACATTAATCGCATTATTGCCGCTCTGACCAAAGTGCGCATGTGCTCGTGACAAACATGAATGATGTGACACGCACCTGTGATAATACGCAGATTAGAAACGATGGCGGGGAAGAAAGCATGACATAACTCGCTGCTACCAGTCTCTGTTCCTTACCCTCATCTAGACGCAGCGTAGGCAAACGAATTCCATCACATTTCTATGGCGCCGAAAAAGCATGGACTACAACCATACAAAAGTGTTTTGCATTAGACGTAAATAAATTAAAACAGTGGCCAGTAACACACCTGCTCATTTGTGCTGAGCAGTGAATAATGGCAGTAAAAAATTAACCACAACTCTTAGCGATCAATAAGAATAATGAAATTGCATGTAAACAGGAGTGAAGAGCTTTGCTCTTGACATGTAAACATCATAATGCGATTAAGTCCTTTCTCTGATTATTGGAAGTAATCGCATTATTTGTGTGCATGTAAACGAAGTCAGTGACTCAAGATTTACTTGTTTTATTACTGGACGAATCAGTGTTTTTGAATGAAACTCTTGAATGAATGATTCAAAGACAAATACATTTTTAACAGCCACTTTTCACCACCTAAAAAAAGATGCGCACACAGGAATTGATAGGTGGAATTGAAATTTTAATTTTACAACAAGTATTCGATTCCTGACCTTAAGTACAGTGTTGCCAAGTCCGCTGTTTTCCCGAGGAATTGGGCTACTTTAACACTGTTGTTTTTGATGTCCGTGGGTCGAAGCGACCCCAATATTGTCATATTTAGCCCCTGGAATGTGAATTTACCAGGGGAAACCCGGACAAAGCATGTGAATTTTACACCCCGGAACGTTATTTTTAACAGGGGACCCCCCTCGAAACGCGATTGGGCTAGTTTTGAGTAGCAATTGGACGGGTTTTATTGTGAAAACCTGGCAACCCTGCTTAAGTATCCGTTTCTGGAATTGATTTTAGATTCCTGACCCTACTCAGAACTAGGGATGGACATTCCAAGCAAAATGTTTGAAAATCTCTGGGTATTATTCGATTATTATTAGAAAATTGCACCCCTCCCCCGCATACACGCACAAATCCCCATAAACAGAGAGAGACGGGATTCACGCTTTCAATCTGTATGATAAACTGTTTAATTCAGAAGATAGGCTACCTTAACTCAAGCCATATAATGATTGTAGCGTGCTGAAACATTAATATAATAAACATAACCGAATGACGGCACTTATTAACATAACAGTCCGTCGATTAGCATAAATCAACTGCTCATAAGGCTAGGACATTTCCATTTTCAAAAATGGAACCCCTAAAGGGAAGAAAAATATACTTCAATATATTCTGTCGCAATTATATCGTTGGGTAATTATACTGTTTATAAACTGCGGGCATCAGGGAGCCGTTATTAATATGCTGGGCATTGAAATCGCTTATGAACGCGTGCTTGTTTTTTACTTTCACTTTTGAGATTCGCGATCACATGCGGAGCAGCACTCAGCAGTACTTACCACACATTTCACAAGATTAGATGCTTGTCAGTGGTGCTCAGGATCTGCAAATCATTCGCCATCATCCTATCAGTCATCTCTCCTTACTCTGTTTATGTGGGAAGTGAAATGTTATGTACTGTAATGTAACAGGCTACCGCTAGCAAGCGGCTAACCGTGTCCCTTTAGTGGCTCCGTAGAACGTGTTAGGTGCGTTATTGGCGGCGCCACATGAACGCGTCACCACCGCATCAGCACGGAAAACATGGGGACATTTTTTAAGACAATAATCGCACAACCCATTCGATATTCTATAATTAAATCAACTAATCGAATATTAGAAAATCGTGACCCATCCCTACTCAGAACTGAAGTCTACTTTCAATGTTTTTGCATTCGAATGTGGATTTTAATTTAAAAATTAGATGAGTATTCGAAATTAGAATTTTTATTTGACAGCCGTAGATCACGGCGCGGACGATTCGCCTGCACTGACCGAGGACATCCTCGCCGCGCAGCTGAAGTTCAGCTCCTGTCTGAAGATCCTCACCACAGAGCTGCGGACGCTGTCCACGGGATACGAGCTGGACGGAGGGAAGCTGCGGCATCAGCTGTGTCACTGGCTGGAGCGAGCCGTGGCGGCGCTGCAGAGATGCTGCGGATACAACCCCTTCCTCCAGCACCTGCCCGAGGGCATCTCGGCCGACCTGAGCCAGGTGGAGGATCTGGAGGAGCGGGGCGCGGCGGAGCAGGCCCGAGAGCTGCAGCACCGGCGCAGACTGTGGCTGAAGAGGAACCAGCCGCTGCTGCGCATCTTCCTCAGCTACTGCAGCCTACACGGCTCTCACGGAGGAGGACTGGCCTCCGTCAGGATGGAGCTCATTCTGCTGCTGCAGGAGTCCCAGCAGGTAACACGCTCGTTTGGATTGAATCACTTGAATCGGATCTTAAAGGGTTAGTTCACCCAAAAATGAAAATTAGCCCATGTTTTACTCCCCCTCATGCATCCTAGGTGTATATGACTTTCTTCTTCCAGACGAATCCAATCGGAGTTACACTAGCGGTCAAAAGTTTGGGATCAGAATGATTTTTAATGTTTTTTACAGGAGTTTCTTCTGCTCAAGGCTGCATTTATTTGATCAAAAATACAGGAAAAGATGTAATATTGTGAATACTATATTTAATACTATTTAATATAGTTACTATATAACGTTTTTCTATTTTAATATACATTCAAATCTAAGTTATTCCTGTGATGCGCAGCATCATAACTGCAGTCTTCAGTGTCTCATGATCTTCAGAAATCATTAATATGCTGATTTATTATCAGAGCTGGAAACTGTTGCTGCTTCATATTTGTTTGGAAGCTGTGATACTTTTTTCAGGATTCTTTGATGAATAAAAAGTTCAAAAGAAGAGCGTTTATTTAAAATAGAAATCTTTTCTAAAGCGCTGCATCACAGAAATACATTATATTTTAAAGGATATTAAAATAGAAACAATTATTTTATATTCTAATAACATTTTGCAAGATTACTGTTTTTTTCTGTATTTTTGATCAAATAAATGCAGCCTTGATGAGCAGAAGAGACGTCTTTAAAAACATTACAACTCTCACTGATCCCACACTTTTGAACGGCAGTGTATATTAAAAATGATCCTTGCTCTTCGAAGCGTTAGAATGGGAGTAGATGGGTGTTTTTGTTCAACAGTCCAAAAGAAGTCAAATAAAGCGCATGCATCCATAATGAAACATACCTCACACGCAGTGTTGGGTGTAATGCATTACAAAGTAATTAATTACTGTAATTTAATTACATTTCTCTTGAAAAAGTAAAGTAAGGGATTACTCTTAATTTTTCTGTAATTTAATTACTGTTACTTCTGATGTAATTGTATTAAATACTGCATAGACTATAGAATAATTCTATTTAAAACAATAGTGGATTTAACATCTAATATTAAAATGTGTGTTTAATGTAACCTTCTCCCTTTAAACACTTTGGACAGTTCAAGAATAATTTATGCAATTTTGTATTATGTATTTAAAAGAATTAAAAGAGCAGTTGCATGTTGTTCAACAAGTTAAGTTAAACAATACAAGAATAGACATGAAAACATTTGTAATTCTTTCAAATACAAAATTGCTTAAATTAAGAAACTAATAAGTAATGCAATACTTTTAAGAGAGAGTAATTAGTACGGTAATCTAATCACACTGTTGAAGGTGTAATTAGTAACTAGTGTGTAATTAGTAATTAGGTTTTTTTTATAAGAAAATTCCACGTACAACAGTTAGCAGAAGTGGGAGAAAAGTGTTTATAACATTTTAAATAGGAATATTTTTCTGACAAAAACACATGAATTCGCTACAGGAGGCACATTTTATGATGGATGCATGCACTTTATTTGACTTCTTTTGGACTGTTGAACAAAAACACCCATGTACTCCCATTCTAACGCTTGGAGCCAGGATCATTTTTAATATAACTCCGACTGGATTCGTCTGAAAGAAG